CTTAACTACTCATCATCTGCTAGGGTCTCAAAGATATAGACAAAGTTATACTGAATAGTGGCCATGTTTACTTATTTCAAAATTTTCAGAGGTATCGAAATTTCAAGAGTTGGCTGCAGTAAAATACACAAAAAAAGTTGACCTTTTCAGGTAAGTGATAGTAATATAGGAAGATGTATCTTAATTCTTCGTTTTCTCTCTCTCTCTCTCTCTTTTTTTTTTTTTAATCTTCTATTATTTAATCACTGATTCTAATTGTATTTACATCTGAAGGCTGGTTTATTATTATCTGTGAATTACAGCAAAACATGTGAGAACTGTATTCATAATGGGTAGGATGCCTCTGTGAAGAATTTTCTGAGGAATACTAATTGAAGTTACGTATGTGGAAAAATCGCGAAAATCCCATGCTGCCAATCCATTCATCAAGATTTCATATCATTATCAGTATCCAGCTATCTTAACCATTTGGCTACATCTGGAAGAAATCAAGGATCCCCTTTATTAATAGAAATAGGTCTGCTATAGTAATGCAGATATTATAGTGTGAAGAGAAATAATAATTTAAAGATTTCCTTGTATTTTTCTTTGGAAAAGCACAAGAAGAAATAATAATTCAAAGATTTCCTTGTAATTGTTCTTTCATAAAGAACAGAATATCTGTGCTTTTCCGAAGATACCAAAATGTCTCATAATCCTACATAAGGCTGTTTAGAAGTGCTTTTGGACATACCTCCTTCCCTGATGATAATGCTTATCAACATCAACAGAGCAAAACTTAGTAATATATAAAAGTAAAGGTATCAAGCAAATAAACAGGCCAACAATTTTCTGATTTTAAGTACCATAGAGAACTTAATAAAATACTCATGGGAGAGCTTTCAAGCAACAAAATTCTCGTGCTGAAGATTTCATTGCTTTGTAAACTATACTAGTAGAAAAGTAAGACTTATTCTCTGAACTCTAATTAATTCCTTTACTGAGAATATGAAACTACACTATCATATGTGTATATAAACTAGGGAAGATCACATTTCCTGTTTACTTTCAAAAGCTGCATTTGTTTCTGAGATTATTATTATTATTTTTTTAATTTTATTATCACATATTACTTCAATTTCATTTGTTTTATAATATAGTTTTGTGTCATATGCATTCATATTCAGTTTTTTAGTTTGTATGTATGAGTTATGGTTAAAGTGGCCACACGTTCTGATATTGGCGGGACAGTCCTGCGTCCCGCTGATTTTTAAAAATGTCCCGCTTTTTGTAAAACATCTTCATTTCTTATTTTAAATGTACTGTAAAAATATATTACCTATTATTTATTAATTACTATAGTGAATATAAAGAAATAAAAAAAAAACACATAAAATGCATGCAGAGTAAACTAAATTAGGTGATGTAATGAGTTAGATTTAGTCGGTGGTGTTCGATCATTGTCATTATGTCTGATCAACGAAAATGTATTGTTAACAGAGGAACATTAGCTGAAGGGCTATTTGCTTTCCACACCATAAACCACAATCAAAGTTTCAGATCAATTGATTGTACGTCGCAAATGATCAAAACATTGTACGACAAAAAATTTGCATGTGCAAGGACAAAAACCGAAACAATTATTTGTAATATTTTTTCACCATAATAGTTTTCAGAATTCCAGAAAGAATTAGATAAATGTGCATTTTATGTCCATATATTATGATGTTTCCAACCACAAAGATTTAAAATTATTTCCCACAATTGTTAGACTTTTTGATTCAGAAACAGGAATTAAAATTAAAATATTACATTTTGTTTCATTGCCGGGGAAACTTTTTTTTTTCCAATAGCAGATTTTGAACAGTTACAGTTTTGTAACAGAGTCCATTAATCTATACTAAGGCCAGACGTGGTGGTCTCTTTATTATGGAGGCACCTAATAGGTGGGCTACCATTGCCTCCTATGAGGGGACAGACAGTTATAACCTTCTCCGGGATTCAAACCCAGGCCCTTTGGTATCGCAATCAGGCTCCCCTAACCACTATATCGTCTGGGCAGCTGCCAAGTGAAACTTCATAATAATTTTTTATTCAATAAGTTAAAAAAGAATAATTTGAACAATAAAATTATTGCATTTTTGACACTAACGCAAATTTTTGTGGAAAAGCTAGAAGAGGCATCAATAACGTTTTTACGAAACTTAACGAACGTTTGAAGCAAAAAATTTTCAAGTAGGTTGTGCAGCGCACATTCTACACAATACTATTCAAATAGCATCTGATTTATTTCCAGTTGATGTTGAAAATATTATTGCAAAAATTTATTTGTATTTTTATATATATACTGTGCATGTCAAAAGTTTGAAGGATTTTTGTGAAAACGCAGAAATAAAATATAAAAGAATTATTGGTTACAGCAAAACAAAATGGCTAGCTCTTTTACGAGCTGTAGAAAATATTTTTAAAGTATATGAACTATTAAAATCATACTTTTTTATCACAAGATAAGTGTCCAAGAATATTGCAGCTGTTTTTTGAAAATGACGCATCACAAATTTGTTTCCGTTCATCCACAACCAAGTTACATTATTTCACAATGTTGTGAAAGTTATTGAAGGGGACAAATTTTCAATTACAGAAGTGTCAAATGAAATCAATAATTTAAAAACAAAATTGCGAGAAAGAATTGATAATGCTTACGTTCCTTTAGTTATTCGAAAGGACATCACTAGGTTGGAAAAACAAGGTGCCATATTAAACGACCTGATTTTCTGAAAGAAGTCAGAAATTTTTATAATTGCTCGGAATATCTTGAAGAATGGACAGTTCAATTCGAGGATATTAAAAACTTTCATTGGGTGACATTAAAAAAGGAGGGAACTACTCTTATATGCACCCTCAAATCACCAAATTCCTCGCCAAACATTTTTGGCGAGAAACTCCATGGTGCCATATTACTATCTAAATTTTTTGTCTACATTTCGAATTTTAAGCCTAAAATATCTCCATAAACACAATTTTCGCACATGCAAAAACCACGTTTTGACCCCACAATTTAAGCTAAAAATCCAAAACTAAAACAAAAAATTTAGGTAGCAAAAATGTAAAGTTTCTAACCAAAAATATTTGACAAGAATCCGTGTACGCAGCAATATGTTTTAACTTAAAGAAACATCCTTGAATTGCACAGTCTAGGCAGCGAAATAATATATGAACTATGTACACCTCGCTTTAATAAATTAACATAACAGCAAAAAATTTCAAGAATGCCATGTATGCAGAGTTCTGTTTAAACTTTAAAAAACCTGTCTATGAATTGTGTAATCTAGGCACTAGCACAATCAACAAAATAAACTAAAATAACTAAAATAAATTTTCAAAAAATTCAAAAAAAAAACAATAACAACAGAAATTCATACTAAAAAAACAATGAACATAACATTCTACGAAATAAGAACAAGAATAAAATAAAATGCATTTATCCAGTGAATGAATGCTTCTTCGAACAGCAGAAATACTAATTTAAAACATCCGCCACGTAAACAATTTCACTATCGTAAATTTGTTAAAAGACATCTTCTCCCATTTCAGAAAATTCATACTATGGTTCACAAATAAATGTTCAAAACCTTCTTTTCCTAAATCTTTGCAAGATTTCCAGCCATCCAAAAAACTAGTTGTACAAGGCTCAATCCACTTATTAATATATTGCATCAGAGTTTCCTTACTTCTATCATACACAGCCACTACAAATAATCTCCCAAACCCTCTTGCAACCACGTCTCTCATTGCAATGTAGGCCATTTCAAAACACGCACGACACAAACCAACGAGCTATTAAAACATTCCAGCAAAAGAGTATTCAACGTCAAAAGGGTTGCCATACAATACGCAGTCGTGCCAAAAACCAGCGCAGAACACATATTGCCACATTTGGTGATCTTAGGGCGCATATAAGAGTAGAGCCAAAAAGGAGATTTCATGGGAATATGTGGAAAAATCTTTTTAATATGTTAGTAACTATTTTCCGAAAAATAATATTTGCGAAAACGATCTTTTTGATGAGGTGTCATTGGTAAAAAGATGCGTTACTGATGAAAAAAATTAAAAGTTGGTTGTCTGCAAATGTGGAAACAAACAAAAAATGGACGTAATTATTCCTTCATTTTAAACAGAATTATATGCCTTATGAAAATATTATGAAAATTGTAGAACACGCGCTCTCCCTTCCAGGAACAACTTCAGTAATAGTTTTTGCTAGTATCAATAAAATATGAACAATTAAAAAAAAAACGCAGTTGAACATTAAAACTTTAAAATCTGTGTTAAGCCTAAAATATAATTTGAACAATTCATGGGAGAAATTTCACGACATTTTAATAAATGATTCGAATCTATTGCAAAGTATTCACCCGAATAAAAGATATAACTATGAAAGAAAATCATAATTTTTTTTAAATAAAATATTAAATTAAATTAAAAACATAATATTCAAATTATTGTTTTTTTATAAATATTTTATAGTTGCCAATTGTTAATAGTAAATATATTTTGTATATTTATAGACAAGTATATGAATGTATATATAAAAATTATATTTTTTTGAATTCTTGGGCTGCTTTCATAACTAAATTATAATTCTCATTTCATTCTATTTGTTCCGCTTTGTCTCAATGAAAATGTGGTCACTTTAGTTATGGTGGCATGTATGTATCATCATAAGTAAATAGGTTGGTGTTTTGATGAGGTTAAAAAGTTGATATTTTTATGCATATAATCTTGGATATTAGCATATGAATTTGTTGAAATTCCACAGAAATAATATTTCACTGAAGCATATTATATAAAAATAAAATTTAAAATAATAATGCCTTCATAGAAAATGAAATATAAATTTAAAAAAAAAAATGTATATTAAAATCACATTTTAACTACTTTGCTAGTAAATATTTATTTTCTCAACATATTTGAGAACATAATTTAAGGAAATTTTTTGCTTCATATAATTATTCTTACAGATCACCGATCTTCTTTCATCCCTGCCTACAGAAACACAGAATATTCTTAAAGATTGCCTTGAGGTACGCTGTACTGATTTAAAAAAGACTCTGATAGAAAAAAGTCATGCAGTGTCTCCAGCATTTCTCAATAATTTTGATTGGAAACTTAAGGTAAGAAACTGTAGAAATATGTAAATTTTTGTTAGTTTGTTAATAAGAGCTTTTAACTAACCAGATTGCACATTGTGATGGCTTTAGCATGTTCAGCATCTTAAGGAAAAGAGGCTTATGTTTGGATTAATATAATACTTTTATATGAAGAAAGTGCAGCAAAATTTATATATTTACATTCTAATAATCTTTCAGATGACATTGGATTATTTGATATTGGATGACACTGGACTGGAGATTGAATAAATTTATTCCTATTTGACTTAGGACTTGTTGAAACTAATTAAATAATGTATTAAGATTTTTTTATGGAATGCTGACATTATATTTTCAAATAATATCATAGAAATGTATAAATTTTAGATATTTTCTGATATGTATAAAAATCTAGTATATAAAAATCTGTGTAAAAATTCACTTCTAAAATGTATTTTCATGTTTATGAATAGATTTTTAATATGTGCATTTTTTTACAAAAGCATAAGCTTTCTCAAAGGTTGCATGTATTCTGCTACAAATCAGTTTTGACTATGGGCTAGTGGGGTGTCAGTCAGGTTGTCGTAGTGAAGGTGGGTGCGGAGAAGGTACACAAGAGCAGCATCTTGCCTTAGCACAGCTTATGCTTCATGTTTGCACAGTAGAGATTTTTTCAGCATGGTAACCTTCGTCGCTTGGTGCCGAATAAAAACTTCAGCCGTGCATAGTCTGTTGCAATGAATGTGTGCACTGTATAACATGCGTAGTCTATTGCTGATGAATGTGTGCGCTGTAGAAATTTAACAGGAATTTCTTTCCATATGTAAAAGATACATTTTTAAACACTATTCATAAGTCAAATGATAAATATTTAGCATTGTTTGAATTAATAATATCTCATTTGTTGTTCAGATAAGCCCAGATATGCAGAAATTATTTACTCGTGACTTGAAAAACATATGTGGAAAAAGATGTTATTCTTTTTCACTTTAAAATCTGTGTTTATGTTTTTAATTGCTTTAACCCTTTGCGACACGCATATTAAAAAAATATTTTAATCTTTAAAAAAATGCCTTAGAATAAGTCAGATGGACTTACCTAAGTGCCTTTCAAGCTTGAAAAAAATTCTGCGTTTTCATTTTTTACGGGGGTAGGTGGGATACCGTTTGTCCCACCATGCAACTAACACGTCTTATAGCATATTGGTGTATAGCAGGGAAAAAAATCATATGTGGAATGAATAAACAAAATAAAGCATGCATTCTAAAATATTGATAATAAACACATTAAAATGCATTTTGTACAATATATTGTAATTTTGCATTTTTAAATTTTAGGAACAAAAGAAAATATTTCTTGGACATTATTTTAAGATTAAAATTTGATACTCGTACATATGATACTAAATAAAAATATTAAAATTGGCACTTGATTCAAAAACATTTATATATGATTAAAAATTGAAAAAAGTCATTTTTCATGAAAACTTTGAAAAAATGTTGTTTCATTCTTTTGTAAGCATAGGAGGCACTTCACATGTTTCACACATCCAAAATGTTCGGCGTTCTTCTTTCGATGTGCTGCAATATGCACATCTTTCTGCTGCTCCTTCTCTCTGGTGTGTAACTTAACATTTTTTAGTCTTTTCTGGTTGTACGAACGGTTTTTTAGTTTTTATTTGAACTGGGGATTTCAGTTCATTCTTTCAGCTCTTTCTTGCCTGCAAATGCCATTAGACCTTCTATAACTGAGAGAAGAAAAATCTTTCATTGTTTTTACAACATGATCGGGTTCGCGAACAAACTTAAATAGAATAAATGTGTTTACTATACTCGCATGTAAAAAGGAAAAAAAGATATCCTGTGCCATCCATTTCTTGCTTTTGCGGCCTATTTCATATAATCCTTTCAGTTGATCAAATAAGTCGACATATCCCATATTCTATATATGAAATAATGCTGTTTGGGCACAGTACTTTTTTTTTTTTTTTTCCATCTCGTTCTTTTCTATTAATTTCTTTCATTTCAGTTGCCTTTTCCAAGCAAGACAGGATAGAAATGGATCTTTTATCCTTCAATTTTATACAATAAATTGAATCATCGCTAACTGAAAAGTCTATATCTCCTCTCGACATAAATTTGTCTTCTTTTAAATTTTGGGGTAGATACTTCCGATTCATATTTACAGTGCCACATGCATAGATGCTCTGTGTCTTTAAAAAGTAAAACAAATTATAACTACTTCCCTTTCTTCTTCAGCAATAACTTCAACCTCAGTATTCTCTCCTGGATTTCAATTTCATCTAATCAGAACTGACATCTGAAGCATTTGAGTCGCAATCGGATGGCAATTCAGCAAAAAGATCCAAAGCTTCCTGAGTTGTTAATTTTTTTTTCTAGACATTTTAGCACATCAGAGCATACAACAGATGTAAATACGCGTGCAATCACGAAAAAAGTAGATGCAAAAAAGAAAAAGAAAAAAATAATCGTGAGTGCTGCCATCTATTGAGCGGAAAATTCAAGTGTGTGGTGGGACAAATTTTAAACCCACTTATTTCAACTGCAAAATTAATGTTATAAAATATTGAATCCAATTAAGATTTTTGAAAATAAAATACCTTTGAATATTAAAAAGAATCATACATATCCTAAATTGTATACCAAAATTTTTTAAATATTGAAAAATGTGAGATACCTGAATATCACTCTTGTGATCCTATTTTGAATATTTTTTGCTTATAAACTTAAGCCCTGGTATAGTAGTGACATCTATTGAGAAAAATAATGACTAAAATCGATTACTTTTAAAAGATTAGAAAATTTCTAATGGAAATTGCTAACTGAGAAAATAAATATTAATTAGGTGGGACACATATTGACCCACCATGCTGCAAAGGGTTAAATTAATACTGTCGGTTTATGTATGAAATTGTCACTTAATGTGTTTCACTGTGTTTTGTTCACTAAATAAGGACTGTATTTCCTTTAGCTTTATTTAACTACACTAATTCTAAATACAAAATAAGTGACACAAAACTAATACAAAATAAGGCAGACATTCTACATGGCTGTCACAAACACATTTGTTTATCAACCACCAGGCTTGTTGCCCCTTGCAAAGAGTAGAAACAAGAAAACTTATACACGTTCTTCAATGATAAATCATAGATCAGTTATCCCAAATTCTGGAAGGAAATGATTTATTATTCAGCCATTAAATAAACAAATTAAGCTATCTTAGATTTTATACATTGTTCGCAATACTCACATGAACACTGTATCGTGTAGTAGTCAGTTCACCTTATTTTACATTTATTTCATAATGTATTTTTGTTTGATATTTCATCCTATATTTACTGTTATCATGAAAGTTCCTCTTTTTAAATTAATTAATTTATTTATTTTATATTATTTATGTTTTGGATATTTCTTTCAGTTAGAGTTGGATACTGGAGTAGTAGATAGTTTTAGAGTAGATACTGGAATTTATGCTAGCCACTTCATGGTACGGAAGAAATTAAATACTGTTGCAGAATAGTAAAACACAATAAAAGTTGAGAAAATAAAATAAGGTATACTTTGTACCCTCCCCAAAAAAGTAAACAATTTTTTATTTCGTGTTCTACTGTACCAAATGACGAAATGTAGTTTGCATTTGTTATGTCCTGAAAGCACGATTTAGGATATATATTAGATTTATATATAATATTCTTCTAACATAGGTATTTAGATACAAAATCAGACTTTTTCTGAAATGACATACCAATTTTTTTCCGTATTTCGATTCTCTGACTCAAATTATGCCAAAGTTCCAAGTTTTGTAAACAATTGCAAGAGTAGTTTTAAAAAATTAGCTCTCAAAAGCACCTTAATGTTAATTGAATTTGGAATGTATTAATTAATATCTCTCTTTTTTATTAAACTTACTTGATTCCCTCTTTCACAGTTAAAAATTTAGGTTCACTCCAAATAAAATTCACAGCTGCTTTCAGATTTGTTTTAAAAATTTGTATTAGTTATTTTTATGTAATTTTCCAAAATATTTTTGAATTATAACCTGTAAAATTTTTGCCATTACCTTAAAGTAGACATATTTCTAAGGATACTTTGAAAAAATTAGAGCTTAGTAAAATTTCTGAAAATATATGTGAATTTATATATTATTTATTTATTGTCATGTTTTGAAATCTGCCATATCTGTTATAAGAAATAATAATGCCAAATGTGCTTTATGTATTTTGTTAAAATTATTTGAAAGAATGAACAATGCACCTTATTTTCCGGCGATGCACAATGAAAAAAGAGATAGGGAAATAGGTTACCATAAATTAAGAATTTCACCAAGTAAATTACTCTTGGCTCAAGCTGAAAGTGTGCCAAGATAAATTTTTAAATTTTTTGGTAATTTTCCCTCCAAATTAAAAAAAAATTAATATTTTACCATTATTTGAGTTGTAGAATCAAAATATGGAAAAAAAAAATTATTATTTATGAGCCAAAGGATAACAAAATTTACAAAAAAGAGCTTAATATTTATTTCTTTACCTTATTAAACATTTCTTTCGATGTAAGTTGTTTTGTTTTTTGTGCTAATATTTTCTCTTTAATTCTGTAGACAGACATAATCTCTTTGTTCAGTTACATTGTTGAACGTCCTGTAACTGCATTCCGACTAACTTTTCAATTGAAATTTTTTCATTTTCAGTAACTTCTCTGTTACTGTCTTCTGGATCTAAAACCATACTACAGATTTCGCCATTCATTCATTGATTGAGGATTGAGAAGCGTTGCATCACAATGAAAAACTTCTTTTATATCATCTTCGTTTATTACCGCTTCTCCACATTTCTTTATAAAATCCGTTAATTGGAAAATTTCACCCTTTGTTTTGCGATATTTGAAAACCTTTAAGATTAGCGGCTATCACCATCAAATTTAACTATCCTTCACTAAATACATATTTGGCTATGCATCATGAGCTTGGAGACTAACGACAAGTTGTTCCGTTAAATTTTATCTTGC